TGTCAGATATGGATTTTATAAAAAAAAAAATGCTTATCCGGCAAGGGTCGAGAAGTTAACCTTGTCAGAATTAGAAGCAATTTTCAATTTTGATAACACCAGAGACTTATTTACTTCTTTCCCAATAGTACTAATATTAAAATACAAAACAAACGAGCGTGATTAATAATTGTATTCATTTGACGTTCTAATTAATAATATTTATTGTATCATAACCTTATAATATTATAAACAAATTTCGCAATTCTCTAACATGTAGGTGCGAAGAGTGCATGAATATAAAAGGAGAACTTTTGGATCATCTTTCACAGATAGCTATGTGAATTTGGCACCCGACTTTTCAAAAACTGATTTTTTTTTATAGAAAACGATAGTATTTCGTTTGTACCTGATTGCACCTCCAATAGTTTCGTTTGTACCTCGACCTATTAATAATTAAAAAAAATTCAAAAAATGGTCAGCACCCGACATCGAGAGTTTTGAAATCAGTTTTTCCCGATTCCTTAGAATCGTTTGTACCCGCCGGAAACGTTTTTCTTTTCGTTTGTACCTCAATAGTTAAAATTTTATAGCAATTGTTGATCCGCGTAAGAGTGAAGTTCGTTAATTTTCAACTATGTACAAACGAAAAGAAAGACGTTTCCGGCGGGTACAAACGATTCTAAAGAATCGGGAAAAACCGATTTCAAAAATCTCGATGTCGGATGGTGACCATTTTTTGAATTTATTTTTAATTATTAATTGGTCGAGGTACAAACGAAACTATTAGAAGTAAAATCAGGTACAAACGAAATGCTATCGTTTTCTATAAAAAAAAATTAATTTTTGGAAAGTCGGGTGCCAAATTCACATAGCTTTCACAGATATCGTAATGAGAATGTGATACAATTAATCATTTATTTATACACAGCGCGCGACATATAGAAAAAGGCAAATCACTCGTGTTATTGATATCAAAAATCGGTTCCAACTTCGACGGAGTTCGTTGTTCGACTTACGCTGTTACTCAAAATTTTGAGAAGCATGACTACTCACTAATTCTTACGAGACCTAAAGTTAATTATTTTGAAGGCCCTTTCCTTTTCTGAAATGCAAATGGTATTAGTATAAAAATATAGAGAGTTTCCCAAAAAGGACAAAATATGACTTCAAATAAAGTTTATTCAATTGAAGAATTGGAGTAGAACTAACAACAGATTTAATTTAAATATTCATGCTGTAACAATACTATTAGGAATGTGCGGGAACCCAAAGTCTCGAGTGCTCGTATCGAATCGAAAACTGTACCGTATCCCGTAACATAAAAATATCAGATAGTGAAAACATGATTCAAAATGCATTTTACTCGATATGACCAGGGATTGAATGTGTTTGTAAACACTATGCTCTACCTATAGATTGCTTATCTTATCGTAACAGTTTTAAAGCACTTTATACAACTCAGTGCTATTTCAACGAAGAAACATCAACGACATAATTGTGGATGTAACAAAAATTTACAAACAAACTATAATGCAACAGGATATGCATAATAAAGATTTCTTTTTCAGAAATACTTTGACAAAATAATTTTGGAAATTTTTAAAAGTCCTTTCAGATATAATGTATGTAGATTATATTGTAGATTAGATTAACGTACCGAAATCTCATCAAAGACCGAACTCTTACACCAAAAAGTGTTCAATTCAGCTTGGAATTATCTCAATATCGACTAGCTTATAAAACCATAATTTAATCTTAAGTGATAATTTGTTTACTCCTCGATAAACTTTGATATAAGCAAATATGATGTTTAATAGGGCACACAAATAATTCTTGAGGCAAAATTAATTTAGTACGTTTAAAAATATATTAATTACATTGAATGTAATTAAATACATTTTTAATATTTTTAATGTATCATCAATTGGATGTAAATAGGTACCCAGTCCAAGCACTTAGTCTTCATGGACCATTGTACTCGGGCCCATATGGGCGACATTAGATGCATCATATTTTCCAGAATTGCTGGAAAAGATATATAAAATTATATGGAAATTATTTCATAGTTGAAGTTTCATTTGTGTACGCACAACATTTCATCTGCACCAACGTAATATTAATGAGTTGAGAAAATTGATGTTCCGTCAATTTACAATGAAAGAAAAATAAATTGATATCTGTATTATTGTACAGGAAGAAAATGTAATGAAATTAATTCTTTATTAAACAGATTATCTGTATCGAAATTGATCTGTTTGAATATTCATTACAGCTTATATTCATTATTATATTCATTTAGAAATTATGTTCGTAAATGTAGCTCTTAACACTTGTCAGTTTAGCCACTCTAAATCACAAGATGTTCAGCAACAGATGTCGGAAGCCTTAAAAAGTAATTAATTATGTATAATAAAATATGACGAAAATCAAGAATGACAAAATTGTGTTTGCAGATTTATTACTTCACAACTGTACATAATGTAATCAAGACAAATTTCGACAAAATTTCTTTAACGGAGAAACACGATATCCTAATATTTAATTTAATTCTAATACCTCTGAATGTAGCAGAAAAATAATACATACTGAATGGCTTGTTCAAATATATTCATACTATCAATATGGGCACATGTATGGATGTGCTTAAAAGTGCTTATAATTCTTTGTAAATAAACAATTATAGTCATAACTCATTAATTATAATGGGATAGACTTTTGAAATTATATTTATTTTAATATAATTTTGGACCGTGTACAATCGCAGGTTCAATTTCAATATCTTTTATTCAATTTGATAAAACCATTGAGTAAAACGTTAAAACTATCTAATTAAATGTTAAATATTAAACATTAACAAAGGTGATTGGAGCGCGATACTTACCAGTACATCATGTTGAGTAATATTTGATAGAAATAAAAAGAAGTCAACTAAAATGACAAAAATGAAAATGAGTATAGGAAACGAGGTTTGACGATAAATATAAATTAATTATGCATAAACAAAATTAGAGAAAACGACAAAAAATAGGTTTTATGATAGATATACATAGACTAACCTAAGGTAACAAAATTAAGATATTATTAAATCGTGTACTCACTAAGAAAATAAAATAAAGTTTATGTATCTGTTTTACGTAAACTTTAATTTTTTTTAAGAATTGATTAAGACACTTTTGAAAATTTGGATATACAATACAACAAACATGCGTATGAAAAATCAAAAAACAACAAAATATAACTATCATTCTTCACGAACCTACTTTACTCAAAATCGAATCAGACCTTCAGATGAGGACACAAAACTTAAATATAAAGATTCACTGAAATCCACTTAGACGTTTAGATGCAATCGTCTACATATATACCGGTAGTACGTGAGAAAAATGAACCTCCAATCGTATTCATCGAGTTACTATTGACGCCTACGATCTACAAATAGTAGCCTTTATTGCTAGACGCACCGCTTTGTCTTGCAAATGGACAGACGTTAATAAAGGTCGACCAGACGCTCGGGTGCTTTTAACATAGTCGCTGAGGCACAATTCACGGGGGCGGCACTGAATTCATTCTTCTCGTGGGCCAACATGTGCGTGCGTACATCGAAGAAATAATTTACGATAAGTTTGACTAATCACAATCCGATCAGAGTCTTAAAACATGTGTTTCTCTCCAAAACAAATTAATCCAAACTAAATACCTAGTTGCAAAAAAATTATTCAATTTCTTAAAGACATCAATTTATTTTACCAAATTTTACACCCCCAACAACGTATACTATAATGACTGAATAAAAATTTGTAATATTTAATTTATAATTTAAAGCAGTCGTAATAACCTCTATTGTTGGAGCGTATTTAGATAAATGTATTTACAACAAAAATTTGACAAAATTTCTTATACGCTGGTATTGTACAAGATTTCGTATAAGGCAAAAGGTTCGTTCTTCTCGAGTACTGATGGTGCATACATAAAAACTTGTTTTAAGTAGTGAAAACGTACTCGAGGGTTAATAAGAGAAGTCTTATCGCAAAATAAATTTTAATAAATCTTTCCTCTATTATATTTTTTCTGATAGGTTAGAAAATAGAAATGTATAAATAATTTACGAGAACTCGAAACTTGATTTTCTCGTATAGGAACGTTATATAAAAAAGAATTTGTTTTGCACAATCACTTTCAACGTACAGTTACAATGTATTGGTTTTGGTAAATCGATAAGTAAAAATACCTACGCGAATGAATAATGAAAAATAAATAGTTGATTTTCTATCACAAAACCCATTTATTTGTCACATTGTGTGCCGAATTTATTCTTTTCGCGTACCAACGCTACATAGAGAAAAGTTTGTATTGAATAATCCACTTTATCAAGATGTCTCAAGACATATGTTCTTTTGTGAAAGTGTTTCTCCTAATAGTAATAGAAATACGTTTTGTTTGGTAGATTGGTAATTAGAAATGCACGAGTAATTAACGAAAACTTGAGCCATAATTTTTTTTTAACACAAAATCCCATTTATTTGTCACACTGCATGCCGGATTAATTCTTCTCACGTACCAACGCTACATAAGAAGAGTTTGTTTTGAATAGTCTACTAGATTAAGAGGTCTAAAGGCATACGTTTTTCTGTAAAACAATATCTCCCCTTTATTTCCATTCCAATGCATTTCTTTCCCGTGAATCGGTAAGGGAAAATGCACGAATAAATAACGAAAACTCGAAACTCGATTTTCCTCGACGAAATCCAATGTACCGGTCGCACTGTGCGGCACGGCGCGACGCGACGTCGCGGCAGCAGGTGGAAACGCTTCTGAGGCGGAGAGGCGACGAAGGTGGAAGTGGCGGAGCGCATCGAGAACTGGTTTGGAGCGGGAGCTCGCGCGTCGCGTCGCGTCGACTCGCGGCGCGGCTCGTCTCGGCTCGGCGCGGCGCGGCACGACGTAGTGGGGAACGCTCCGTTTCGCAGACACGCAGTGGGGGCAAGCTTGGCACCGACAAGTGATCGTTTACAGTTATAGTCAGTCCGGATCGGGCGCTCGGTCAGCCGAGACTACTTGTGCCAAGTGTTCCCCCAAAATTCGATCCCGATTTGTCGAGCCGGTATTAACGCAACGTGTCGTCTTTCCATGCGGCCCGTATCTACACGAGTATATTCGAGTGAAGTGTCTACTCCATCCCGAGAGTTCATCCCTCTCCGGCACCCTGTCTCTCGATCCCTCGTCCTCGACCACTGTTCCCCGTGTTCCCGTGTCGCCCTCGGTTGAGCCGCGAGTTTGATGCACGAGCACGGGCCACGGAGCCGCGAAACCCCGTGGAACTCGACGAAATCGAATCGAGCACAATTAACGGTATATACACGCGCATCGTTGGTGGAAAGCAGACGCAAGTTCGCGCCGGATGAAACGACAGCGCCGGGAATGTGGACGTCAAGCGGCATTCGTGGGTTCATTGTGCACGATTGATTGGATACGTGCGCGCATACATCGGCTTCGGCCTTCGTCGAATCGGAGCTTGGTGTCGGTCTTGCTCGGTTCCACGTAGGTAACGGTCGCGAGAGTCGTCTCGACGAATCGGTGTGTAACTTTCTTTTCGTATCTCCGCTTGGAAATCGTCAAATGTTCCTAGCGATATTGTTTTTCATTCGCGCAAACGGTAGCTCTTTAATGCAGTGAGGAATAGCATACAGTAACGAAAGAAGTGTGTACACAGGAAGAAAGAACATATGCGATGGTTCTAGGAAAAGTTAAGAACGAGATTGGGTCCTAAGAACACGATTATGTTGTTTGCTTCAAGAACAAGTAATCGTGCAAAGCTGACACAGAAACAATTTGTTCAATTCTGTTTGGGAATACTTACAATCCTCTCAGCTGCACCTTTCGATGATAGAGCATCGAGTACGAACCTTTGTATACAGTTTCACTTTAATATTTAATAAACAAGGTGGAACCTCGAGACTCGATTCCTTCTTCTCGACCATCGTTCTAAGTTACGGTTAAGAGGATTGTTCATTCTACCAAAGGAAATTGGACAAATATATATATATATATATAGAGCACAGAAAGAGTTACGATACAATGACGTGGAGTAGAAGCCTAGAATGTTGAGATACTGTATCGAATTGGAGTTGTATCCGCGACGGAGAGTACTCGAACTCGAGCGCGACCGTTTCTGACGGGTGCGATGAATGAACGAATGGACGGTATCGTTCCAGGAGCAGAGAGTTTGGTTTTCAATTTGTTTTGACTTTCGAATCGGAAGCCGCAAGAGAAGCAACGCTTCGCTGAGCGCAAGAACGCGCCCGAACGAATACGGTCACTCGTACGCGGATGTGACCTCGTAACACTCGACGAGGACTTCGAGACGATCACGATGGAAATGGGAAATGGAAACGAGACGGTCCGCTTCGCGCGGTGCGTTTCCGTCGCGTGCTGAATTCTTCGTTTCCTCGTCTTTCGCTTCTGGCGTCGAGCGCCTCGCTGACTCAACTTGTTGCATTCCACGCAGAAAACAGGAATTCCCGAACATCGAAACGCGTCTTTGACCTTAGAAAGCTTACCTATTCTTTTTCTTTTCTTTTTTATTAAGTTATTTCGCTGAAGTCGCATCAACTGCAAAGTTATCAGCGACCACGTTTTTGTTTACAATTCAATTGCAATTTATCCGATATGTCAGATTTTCTTAACACTATGGTTTCCGAACGGTTTCGCGTTATGTTGGAAAACATTAGTATGAATAAATCATTATTTGTATGAATAAGTCATTAACAAGTAGCATTAGTATGAATGAATTCGAGTATTTATGCATTTATGACAAGTGTAAATACACAAGAATGTGTACAAATAGTACTGTGCAAAAGTTGTAGGCCACTTACGGTACATTACATCTTTTACAATTTTATTGCTAAAGAAAGAGTACAAATTTTGATTTAGCTCACATATTTTATTTTACCAATATTATTATAGAATGTACCGTCCGAAATTTGATAAAAATAGTACAAATTCAAAGTAGAATTTAATATTTAGTATTCTTTTTATCTTCGTGACAGCATAGATTCTTCTCGAACAACTATCATATCATTTTTCAATTATTTCATTCGGAATATTTTCTCGTTATTAATATCTCAAACAATTCATCTGTATTTGTTGCCTTTCTTTTTCTTCGAGCTTTAAATGGGGACTTTTAGGTGAAAAAATCATAACTTGCAATAGTTCAGTTTCTTATAAGTCTATGACATAATTTTTTACAATTCTATTATATTTATACGTGTTACACTAGTATAAATAAAGTGCAATAGGATATACACATCATATTTAATGCAAGTATTCACATGGCGGCCTGAAACATTTGCACAGTACTGTAGATGTATACGATATAAAAAATAAAATAAACGTCACAACATTAAGAAGACACAGGATACTTCAATTTAAGCTTTTATTTTTCATCTGTGTATTTAAATACACGAATAATTCATATTTTCTAATTAGAAAATGAAAATTTAGTATTCTTCTCGCAATAACATATCATCAAAGTTAGTATTTTTTCTTTGTACGTGTTTGAAGATAATTGTCTAGTTGTGAAGAAACTTGACGAAATTCTCAAACCTCAAATTATCAACATTATAACGTATCACATGAACGTATACACAGGTCCAGTATTGATAATGACGAAATAAAACAAGAAATTGACAACCCATACGATTGTTCTAATTCGAGGAACATCAATTATGACGTTTATGAATGATTTAGAACGTATTATTTTATTTTTAAACGAACATACAGCCAGTGTAAGAAAGTATTCGTACAGCAACCAATTCAAAATAAATGGTTCCTGTACGAATACTTATTACACTGACTGTATATGTACACATGAAAATCCCATTGACTCACATCTGCGTCATTCAAAGCCAAAGTGTTAATATATTTTCTAATTTCAAGAATTCGTTTTCATTGTTAAAAGCTAACTTTATTCTATCTGAGTTTCAACTCTATTCGATCCTGCTCTATTTCATGACATTCTTCGATGATTTGTGCCAAGTGACAAGTTTATTACAAGAGTTGTGATTTTGTCACGGTGAAGCAGTGTGTTAGATTTGTGTGGCAATTTATTAATTTTGTTAGTGTCGCTTACAGTTTTCTGTTTGGATCGACTGGAATAGTATCCTTGGTTGATTTTTGGAGTTGGTGTAATTTCGTTGGTGTTACTTTGATTCCAGTTCTCTTTTGCTGTCTTCCTAATTAAATCTTTTGTCTCGTTAACTGTGTACACTATTTTTATACATGACCTATTCATTGTGAAAGCAGCGTGAGTTCATCTTTCTTATCTTCGAGATGTGACAGGTTTACATGTCAATCAGCGATAAATTGTGATCAAGGTTTTTGAAACAATTGCGGTGTACAGGTGTTGTGCGTGACAATAATTCTATTACGTCGTTACGGTTTCTTGACGTTGTGAATCACGGAACGTAAAGTTGTTATTTAGGAAACATAAGATCATTTGTGTTCATAGATTAACACAAAGTTTTTCTTATTTCGTTTAGCAATTGAATTGTTCTAAACGAAATGGTAAACGGAGATTAGTAGACTCGTGAGTGGGATTATCGGTGTCTTGATGTTATTCAAGACATTACCAGCTGAATCGTCTTCGATGATCGCTGGAAACGTTTTAAATCACGTTTTTATCATTACGGACCTGCCGGGCATTCGAAATGGTTACGCAACGATAACTAAAAATACTGGAATCTTCAGTTGCACGATTATTTCTTGGGTGCTGGAATAATAAGAAACTTTAACCGAGTCGGATAGGTCACTGTGTTTACTGACACGTAACGTATATTGGTTACCAGGTTTAGAATCCAATTCATATTTAATTATATTTAACATTTGTATTTGTCGCATCGCGGAAGAATACAAAATGTCGTCGATTTTCTAAACAAGCTCTCTGATCCTATTTTAAACCAATCTTAATTTCTTTGTGCTCATGCCTAGATAAAATTAACAGTGGTGCTTCCTTCTGGTGAACGTCTGTTTAACGAAAATATAATGAAATATAAAAACCGAGAGAAATGAAAGATATATTGCACATTGGTTTTACTGCTTGTATTATTCTATGGAAAAGTCGTTTTGAACATGAACTTAGTAACTAATGCCCTAATTTTAAAGTATAGACCATATAAAGAAAACACATAATAGGTACTGCAATTACAAAATAAATTGTCTTGGCATTTCTCGAGTATAGTCGTCTACATATATATACGTATAATTAAAAAGGATAAAAATGAGATAATGGCATACTAATGTAAAATATATTGTATAATTGAATTTACGGATCCTTAGGTGACTAAATCAAGACTTAAACAAATATTAAAAACGTGTAGACACTATCAAAAATACAAGGCGGAAACATTGAGTATAATTTATTCCTTTGTGCAATGAAAATCTTCAGGGCTCCTTCGAGATATAGAAGCTTAAAATAAATTAAGAAGTAGATATAGTCTACATCATACGTGTAAGAATAAATCGAGATAATCGGAAAAGACATTATTAATTAAGATAGTATATTAGTCACCCTTAATATTTTCTTATGCTGACTACCTGTCTCTTTAATTTGATCAAATGCAAGAATCGAAAACGTTTTAATAACGGACAATATCGATTTCTTAAACCGACTAAAGAATGTATTACTTTTTCTTTAACATAAACCACAACTTGTCTGAAACTGAAGTGTATGGAAAATAATAAATACTGTGAGCACGAAGGGGTTTTACTAAGCTCTAGTTCAACGCGCATAAATTTTTATCCGGGGCACCGTTTGCGCAAAAATATCTTCCGCGATCGTTACTGCCGAAAGCTTTCAAACAAAAGAAAAATAGATCCCGTTCGCTCGCTTCGGACGCGCATTCCTGAACGTCCGCGAAAGAAGGAACGGCGCAGAACCGGCAACCCAACGCCCTGAGATGGGCAACATGTTTGAACAGATAAAAATTTCAAGTAAAAAGTAATGAAACAAACTTAGAGTGGTTTCTTTAAATAAATCCATTTGAATCAGAATGACAAATATTAGAGGAGATGATCTTTTGTTGGTTACACAAGCAAGCACTCGAAATTTGTTTATTACGGATATATTGGAATTTCAACAAATACCATATGAGTGTAATAAAATTCCAGTGGTACAAACGTTAATAAAGCAAAGACAAAGAAATCAATAAAAGAATTTATTCCACCAAGAAAATGTAAAGATAACGAATTTTTCAAACGTTAAATCAAATTGAGACTCAATTACGTTATCAATCAGTATTGTGTCGAAAGATAATGTTTTGTTAGACAACGTAGAGCGTCTTAAACATTATCGAAACTTATATTCTATAAACAAAAAAATGTAAGTTGAACAATACAATAAAAGAAAAACAACTGTTTATCCTGTATATGTTCGATGATAATTACAATCTGATTCATGAGTCTCTGTTACTAATGCGATCTAGTCTCCTCAACTTTTCGTTTCTTTGTTGAGTGATTAAAGACGTTGAATTAAAAAAATTAAATAATAAAAATTCGATAAAGAAAGAAAACCTAAAAGCAAACGATAGAGTAGTCCTACACGCAAAAAATGTCACTACTTGATACACACTTCTACGTTCATGAACTGAATAATTGAAAATTACGCAAGAGAGTTTGCAACTAAGCGCTTCAAAAACTTAATAATAAAAACCACGTTACCATATACCTTAATTGACAATACGATACAGAAGTCCATTTAACCTCTTGAGGGACCAATTTTTCATGAATTTTTGTTTGAATTAATTGAAAGCACACAAACCCAAGCAATTTTTCTATGTAAATCGATTTTAACGTACAAATATGCTGTCTCACTTTAAAATGGTACCTTTTTTAACTCTAAAATGTATTGCGGTCGTAAGTAGTAGTAATTTTCATATAAAAGCAAACGTACACATATGTCAATGTCCTCCAAATATTAATGTGTGAAACAATTACTGGGACACGTGTGTCTCAGCACCCGTGAAAGGGTTATCTAAACGAGTAACTGTTAATCGATACAGCGTTTTTGTTCGTTGTTGGTCGAAGAGACTTCGGCCTATCTCTGACGTCTCGATCAAGAAAATGAAATAACCGATTTTTCTGTCGTTTCGTCCGCGCGCTGTACTTCCGCAGAAGCTTTTCATCGCGACGTCCGACGACGATGGTGTCCACGACTTTCTCCCCATCAACCGCGAATAATTTCCACGTGTTGTACAGATAGTGCCCTCCCCCCGGGAGTCGAAGGTAATTTCATCGGATGCCTGAGATCCAGCAGGGAGTTCGGAAGAGAAACACCGGAGCACCAGTTATCGATCGGCACCGACTGAGAGCAACGTACAGAAACCTTGTTCGAGGAGATTGCAGTGACGCCAGGGAACATTGTGTGTCGATCGAACCGACAAGGAAAGTGTCGTGTTTGCGAGGACTGTCACTGAAAGTAACCCGTAACGCAAGATTTTCGTGAAATAAAACGAACAGTGCGGATTGGAAAGTGTTATTTACGTTAAAAAGAGAGTACAACGAGCTTCGAGGATCAATAAAGAGTGGGAAACGGTTCTCGATCGAGCTGGATCAATTGATTTTCGGACGAAGAATCGTCGATCTCTCGAGTGTGTGTACGTGTAATGCGCCGATTTCTTCGATGGACGCGCGTCGAAGATAATCACACGTAACCTCACCCAGGACCGCCAACTTCTAAGGTAAACACGACACCTGTTTTTGTTCTTCGCTCTGTCCCACCTTCGATGCCCACGCGTTCCTGACCGAGCAGAAATACCGTGCACGCGTGCATTCACCTACGTTCGCGCAGCAATGCGCATTTTTGCATTGCCGCCACGCGGCAAAAAACGAGCGCCGCGAGCATGCGTCAGGATTTTCCGTTTCTTCGTGTAAATGACACACGGAATCACGACGTAGGCACAGCACACGATGTGTTATTTCAGGAATCCAGCATTACTAAATCAATACCATTGTGATTTTTATCATTTACACGTTATATATCATCAGTCACCTCAAACTACTCATATCATTTAATATTTAAATGTTTTATGGGCATTCGAATAACCACATATTCAAATGTTTATAGATACTCAAATCATTTAATATTTGGATGCTTAAACAGAGATACTCGATTAAATGTGCATTTAAGTATTTTAAAGGTCTTCGAATAATTGAATGTTCCAATATTTTATAGCTATGTGCATGTTTGAATATTCGAATACTTTATAGATACTCGAATACTTGTATATTCAAGTATTTTAAGGATCTTCGAAAAATTTGGTATTCGAATGTTGTATGGATTTTCGACTACTACAAATAAATGCCGAATATTTGAGTATTTGAATATTATTATTCGATTATACGTACGGTGTATCATATAAACGTACTATTTATATCATGTGTCATAAGTCACCGGTGACTAACAATGCATCATATAAAAATTTATATTACTATATTAAATATTAACTAGTTAGCTGTTTTGTTACAAATATTAATAATGATAATGATTGTCTTGTTTAAATTAGAAATATGAACGAACATCATTATTTAATATTTAACTTTATCGATATCGTTAAAATAGTACTCTCATCACACGAACGTTCCAAAGAGATAAGGGGAAAACCAATTATCGTCTTGTAACTCAAACATTAGAGAACAAACAATATAAGGATCAGATCAGCAATTCTGTTTTCGTAAAGAACAGAGTAGAAATTAAAATTGATAGCACAAATTTAAACAAATACATACAAATAAATTAAATATTATATCAAAAAATTAAAATTCAAAAAACGTATTTTATTTCATGTTGTCAATAAAATAAGGTGCTTTAAAAGTAAAGAAATCATTACTTTTCCAGGTTCTTAAACGTTTTAAGAACACAAATTACATACTTCAAATATATTCACACAACATTTCAGAGATAAACAAATTTCTTTAGTATCGTAATGGTGTTAGTTTTGTGCAAAATGTTGCACTTTCCAACATTTCTCAATTTAAAATTATTTGCTCTGTTGTCTTATAAATATTTACTCTCTCTGTCAGTCACTGGTCTGAGAGAATTTTTTATTTGACGTTAAGCTTTGATAAATTGATCTTACTGTTGACATAAGCTCACTTTTCAATTCATGATCAGTGGTTACAAATAATATGACTCATTTTTATATACCGCAATGTAAACGAAACTTTTATTACTAAACAATTGTGCCATTATATCTTTGCTCCATGTATTATATAAATAGAGTATCATTTCAGATCGCTTTTATTAATATTTTCTTCAGTTATGTTTAACGATTTAGGATATTGTATCAGTTTTAACGAGTAAATGGGAAAAGCATTCCAACGTCTCTAAATCTATTATCGCTTTATTTAACTAATTATTACTGTTTTTAAAAATTATCTTTTAAAGAAAAGTTGAACAATAATTGTCTGTTATAGGTATTCGTGTTAGTGTGTTTTTATTCAATAGGTATTGATGCATTAATTTATATATGTAGATCTGTGTTCTAAAATTCTCGAAATTGTGAAAAATATTTGTCGAAATTCAGGAATCCCGAAGTACTTGAAAATTGTTTTCTTTGGAAACAGGAATTTGTTGACAAATGTGAAAAATTCTTGAGAGTGGATTCTCAAGCATAGTCATTAGTTATGCGACGTGGAATGTGAGAGATAGCAAAATATCAGGTCGTAACAAATTTGCGCTCGAAACAAATGACTCAGTATATTTGTTTAAAGGCATATATAATTCTTTTAGCTTTTCAGCGCATCCGAAACCTACGTTTTCGCATTTTATGAGAGGTACATTTACATATATGCTATTATATGTAGAGAATACAATGAAAACATCTTCTATTATACAATTATTCTTGTTTTCGACAGTTTTGTCAATGACACCAAACGAAGCAAAGCAACGTTTATTCTAATTTTAGTATAAGCCAATTAAGAGTAATTTTGACAAAATTGTGTTTAAGATAGTTACGACCACAAAATGATAAGATGTATTCATTTTTCAACAATTCACCGTTCACCTCTTTGTATGTATTTTTGTATTTTATATTTCTGTAACTTGTATAGACTATATAAATTTTTATAAAATAATTTCATCTATTTAATTAATAGATAAATGTTCTTAAATCAGGTAATAGTAGTTTAGAGCTGTAAAACATAATGCAAATACGTTTATTTTGATAGCCGTGTTTTATTCTTTATTTCGTTACTTTATTTCAATACTACTTTTATAAAGTAACGTATGATGATAATGTATCATATTATACTATAGTTACTGTAGTGAATAAGACAAGAGGGACTCGAAATGTGTGCATTAGTATATATCTACACATATTTAAATCGAATGAAGCACATACTCTTAAATACCTCGAAACAAGAAAGTTTGGTCTTACACCACTTTCAAATGAAACGACTCAAATGGTGATTCGTGGGTGCGAGGTTGAGAGAATACGACCAACGTGAAAGTAGTTCTCAGTTATAATGTTACTTACGTTCTTCCCAGTGTGTTTTGTCTCTATGTAGTCGAGCGTTATCGCAACGAAAGAGAACTCCTTTATAATCACTTTTGATAATCGTTTGTCCAGTACAGCTGCATTTATCAAGTTGTTAGCTGTAGATGTCAACCAGAGGTGGGAAAAACTCTTATCTAGATACAAATTTCGGATAACGATTAAAAAGATAAATCTTTTTGCCTCCGTTAGCACTTGAGTTCAAACTAAATCTTTAATTACGAAATGAAATACAATAGACTTCCCTATAACGCGGTTAATTATTAAGCATTGCATGGATTCGCGTTGTAAGAAATTTTACTATGCGAGATATACTTTCGCACAATATAAAATAATGTGTTTGGAATGATCGTCGATCCAACTTTTAAAAGAAAGTAGCATATTGACGCTGTTAATTAAACAGAAAACATATTAATAATGCACATACAAAATCTGTTTAAATTTAAACAAAAATAAGTGATTACATAAATTTATTATACATAGTTTTGGAATAATTGGAAAGATTGAAAAATACTTCTGTAGTAAGTCCAAGTTGTCCACCATTACATTTCAACGTTTTCATTTTGACGGAATTGAGCATTTATTATCACACGTTGCATCAGTTTCACTTACAACTTCAACCTTTCAAACACGAGAAATGAATTCCTGTGCTTTATTGTTTGGCGCGTTATACAAAAACAATAGTCGCGATATCTCGGGTGCGTTACAGGAATTTGCGTTGTGGGAATCCGCGTCGTACGGGAGTGTACTGTGTTCCACAAAGAAATTATTAATCGAATAAAATGTTACCCATGTCTGATGTCAACTAGGATAATTCGTTTCCACTTTAAAAATTCAAAATGAATTGCAAACTCCTGGACGAAATATTGTCGTGCCTACTTCCTTCTACGTTTAAAATTGAATTTCAAATTCCGGGCGGTAACACGATCGAAAGGCTGATGATAGTTCTGAGGACCTACAACGCAAGTATTCATCTACTGAATACAGTTAGTCGCGGAGAATTTCTGCTAAACCCGTTTCCCTAATTTTTACGCATTTCCAATTTCGGGTACAGTCAGATAGATAAATCAGATATATAACACAACCAAGAGTTTTTGTAAACATAAATAAACATATGATAATTGTATTCACATAATGTGTCCACCAATTTTTTCCTCTAAATGAGTTTAAAACATTGAATTTTAATGCATTGTAATAGAATCTTCAACATTATATTCTTCTATATGAGTATTTTCTTTTTTTTTTACATTTTTATCTTTGACATTATGATTTATACGTAAGTTGACTTTACATTTTTCACAAATTTAACTCTATTTTTGGCACTTGTATGAAGCAAAGAAGACGTAATTTTATCCTCAACTACAACAAACTTTCTGAGCTCTGAAACAAACACGTATTGGAACCAACTTTGTAAGAAAATTTCAACGATAAACCGAAGATCCAAAACTTAGTATTATTCATGAAGGATACAAGACAATTTAACATCATTTAGATTATATTGTTTTTTGCCGACTTAACAGTAAACAGTCATCACTATTAACCACATAAGTACAGTTGATGCGACGTTAAACTTTTATGGAAAGAGTTAAGGGAGAAATGCGAGTCGTATTGGGTCAGACGTTTTGATCAGCCTTCGTAAGGTCTGAGCCTAACCCAGAATGACTCATTCTACTTACGCGTAGTACCACATTCCCTTTAACTCAGGATTAATCTATCCTCCTTCCAACAGTGTAATGCTTGTAAAGAACGCAGATCATTTTAATAGATGTTTCGTATGTTACAAATTTTTCTACTCAATAGTTGATTAATCTTCAATAGAGCTCTGAACAATAACACTTCTCGGATCCTCACTATGCGACTTTAACAATGACCATTAATTTTCATTTAGCTATAGCGTTAAAAATTATACTATAATTCAAATTCAAAATCCAAACTAAACATTTATATTTTATTAACGCGTAAGAATGTTAGAAGCTGTAGATTTTACTTTTATGTTATATATTTATAAAATGCAAAGACAATTGATCTAAGATAAATAATTAGAATTGTTCTATCACTATTATATAGGATTTGAAATTCTGTATAATGAAGGATTTTCCAAAAGGGGCTTTAGAATTTTATCTTTTAAGAAGAAAATACTATTATCAACGTAGTTGCGGATAACACTTGAACAACGTCTTGCCAAT